GTGCGTCGAGAGTCGACAAGCCCGGCTGCCGGAGTCGACCGACCTCTGCTATTAAGCAGGTCAGGTGCTGCTGCCCAGTCGGCCCAGTCCGGTCGCTGAGACTCCGCTTCTTCGGGCAGCCCTCCGCGCGTGGGGCGGATGCCTGCGTCAGTCATCCGTCAGCAAAGACCTTCTGCAGCGGGAAGGCCAAGGCTCATGGGACGTCTTGGCATTAGGCCACTCGCTGGCAGCACCAGTCCACGGAAATGGCCCCCTAGTGACCTGTTAGCTAAACGCACATCCGCAAGGCACCGGCGGGTGAGCCGTGCATCGTGGAATTCAACTTACTTTGTCTTTAATCGGATCGGGCATGTGCCGGAGCCGGAACCTGCTATGCTTCACCGACTCGTCCCATTCACTGGTCAGGAATGACGTGGGCTGTAGTTTAGCTTTATGAGACTTGGCCGGCCCGTATGACCCGTTTGCATATTCGATCAGCCATCAAATGCGGGCACACCGCCTGGGGCAGTCCCGTGGCCCGACGAGACGTGCTGGTGTAGACAACACGTAAAAGTGTCGTTCTTGTTAGGCGCATGTCCTTACATGGCTGGCGAGAGTAGCCCTGTGGCAGCGGAAAGTCAATGAACGTACATTTCGTGACCATCGCGGCCATTTTATGTGAGTCCAAAGAGAAACTCATGAGCCGAATGCTGCAGACCACATTGTTGTGAACGGGCCACTCTTACCGGAATTCTCGACCACTTTCTCCGAACAGTTGAAGAATAAGCCGTTATGATCAGCGGACATGTACAGATGATCCGGTGGAATGGACTGTCTGGTCAGACAAATATTTGGGAACCACGTTCAGCCCAGCGTTGCGAGAGTTAATATCCAGGCATAGCATTGTGGGTGTGATGTTTTAAAGCCCAAGAAGTGTGATTTTCCAGAAAGTCCGTACTCTGGCCTGAAATGATGGGGTCACCAGAGTTTTCCGCTAAGCTTGCTCTCAATTACTTTGGAAACACCAGGGGCGACGGCTAAGTTAAAAATTGCGAATCAGGGCTAGGTTTAAGTCGGGGTAAAGCGATTAAGTTGGTTACAATGTTTGTAGACTGATCCCTAGATGTCGTTAGAGACAGCTTTTGCCTGCTTCAAAAGTCTCTGCGACGTGCAACATAACCGTCTTTCGTCCTCAGTCTCATCCATAGGCATGTATGTAGGTATGAAAAAAGCGCAGATGTCAAAGTATGGAACCTGGCATATAATATTCGCTACAATCACCAAGCGTACGGCTACAGGACAACTTGCGCGGCACTTGGTAACAGAAAGTGGACAAACACCAGAAGGTAATAGATAAGCTCCAGAATTGGGCTTTTGTATTAGTCAAAAGAGTTAATCCGAGAGCTTAGAGAAATGCTTATATACTTAAACTTATACTTAGGGAAATCTCCGTTTTGCACTTCGTTCTGGTCAGTGGTCCCAAGAACATTCCTTAGCGACAAGACTTAAGCTGACCATGTGACCAATCGTTTCTTGAAACTTGGACTCCTTCGCGTCCAAAAGGTAGACACTTGCAAGTGCGAACTTGATTCATGGGACGTTTCGCCATTCATCTCGAGCTGTCTCGGAGGACTTTGATAGCAGAAGTGTGGCACTTGACGGATTCATGGAATTCAATTGAGAATGAAGCGTTCGAGCTATATAGACTGGACCAGCGATCAAACGTTCATATCAATCTGTCCGATTTGTAAAGCCTTTTGCCCGACTCATGGCTTCGCACCGGCGAAAGGGCTTTTTGAACAACATGCCACGGTTTGTTCGGCTACCTCAAGACAATTAAGCAAAAAAATAATCATGGTCCACTGATACCCGTTCTTCTCCCGGAGGTGTGTACATGTCACTGAGCGACGGCGACCGTCTGTTCTCTCCGTTCTTTCTTAGTGGTTGGCTGATCATCACAATAATCGTCTGCTCTCCATCTGGAGCTCTTGGGTCGTTTTGGAGACACCGACTCACTGAGGTCGTTCTCATCGTTCTGTGCATCGGCTGAATCCGTGGGTTTTACGGACCTCTAGTCGTGTGGCGGTCTCCATGAGACCCTGGAGAACCTTGCCACCTTCAAGGAACATGACCGCTCCACGGGCTTTATCTGTCCCAAGGTTCTCGTTTCTTGATTACGTGCCATCAGTTGTACTGTGAGTTTATCCGACGGCTAGGGCTATTCGTGACTACACCTCCAGCCAGTCTGCATGGTTTCTGACGGACACATATTGCGGTCGTGCATGAGGCTGACCCAGGGTTGCCGCTGAGGTCGGCTCCTGATGAAAAACTTGGTTCGTGCATCGTGTGGTGACGGCTGACTGATGATATCAAACGCGACCCCCACCATTTCTCAACCAAACTGTTCAACAAAATACCCTGGTGGAAAAGGCGGCGGTGGGGAATGATTCGGCGGGTTTTAGCATAAGCCAGCCGGCAAAAACAGACAATTCGCGCCGGGGGCGGGCGGTGAATGGCGCTGTGCCGCAGTTAACGATCCGAGGCGGTGGCGTCATTAATTCGGCGGCGGCGGCGGCGGCGGCGGGTCCGCCACCGGCGAGCGACACCCGGCAGCCCGACTGGCGCGCCGGCCGTGCGCCGAACCGATCCAATCACGCATCGGCGCCCAGCCGCGTTGTGCGCCGGCCACCGGCGGGATGAGCCTGGCCGGCGGCGCCCCTCTGCTCGCCGGCTGGATGGCTCGCCCCACCGAAGATAGAATGCTCCCCCAGCTGATCTGGCCGCGGCGGGGTGGGGAGGCGCCGCGGGCGGTGGCGGTCAGCGCGCCGACATTAGATGGGCACTGAGGGCCTCTTGTGACTGGGCAGGACGGACCGGAGCCATGCGGCGGCCCAAGCCCGGCCGCGATCGCCCAGCTTCGGGCCGAGACACCGGTCACCGGCTCCAGGTCTGGCAGTCCCATGACACGGCCTGATCGACCGGCATCCCCCGTCTGATTAACGTTCTATAATAAGGTTTTAGGCACGGCTCTCGTAGCGCCCAGAGTAATCTACGTTGACAAAGTTAGGGTCGCTGGCATTATCCCGTCGGCAGAGTGGCGCGACTGCAATCCCGCGGCGTCGCCAAGGCGACCAGAAGGCCGTGTTCCCATCACCTGACTAAGCACTGTGGTACGGTGCCGCTGCCACACGCGGTGAGAGGGTCGTCACTCCATCACCTGGCTAAGCACTGCGGTACGGTGCCGCTGCCACACGCGATGAGAAGGTCGTCACTCCATCACCTGGCTAAGCACTGCGGCACGGTGCCGCTGCCACACGCGATGAGAAGGCCGTCACTCCATCACCTGGCTAAACACTGCGGTACGGTGCCGCTACCACACACGATGAGAGGGCCGTCACTCCATCACCTGGCTAAACACTGCGGCACGGTACCGCTGCCACACACGATGAGAGGGCCGTCACTCCATCACCTGGCTAAACATTGCGGTACGGTACCACTGCCACACGCAATAAGATGGTCGTCACTCCATCACCTGGCTAAGCGCCGCGGTACGGTACCACTGCCACACACGATAATGCGGCCCGTCACTCCATCGCCTGGTTAAGCACTGTGGTACGGTACCGCTGCCACACGCTATGAGAGGGCCGTCGCTCCATCACCTGGCTGGCCTCTGCGGTACAGTACCACTGTCACATGCCTTACCGTAAGTCAGACCTTCATGCGTAGTAGTGCCGCATGTAACCATTACGTTAGCTGTATATTAGTCAAAACATTTCCAGGTTACAATCAAAGCCTGACCAATAGCATACGACTGTTCATAAAAGGCATGCAGGTCAGCGTCATGAGGCAATGCCGAAGAAAGTCATTGGGTTAAGAA